TAACATACTATGGACATGTTGTAAGGAGGGACCGGTCCTTGGACAAGGATATCATGCTTAGGAGGGTGGAGGGACAGTGCAGGAGAGTAAGACCCTCTATGAGGTGGATTGATTCAGTGACTGGGGTAATTGGGATGGGTGTGTCAGAGACAGTGTGACTGGCACAGGACAGAGCAGAGTTTAGGGCTGTTGTACATAGGGTCACTATGAGTTGCAAGCGACTCGATGGCACATAACAACAACAACAACAATGCTGTCAACAAAAACTATAAATTGCATAAATGGGAAAACCAAACTAAACAAGTTTCCATCAAGTGGGTACCAACTGATAATAGTCCTGTGTGTTTAAGAAAAAAACTCTTTATAAAAACCCCAAACCCACAGGGACTTTTTCAGTTGATGTGACCTTTCAGAAGTAGATTTCTAGGTCTTTCTTCTAAGGCATTTCTGAGAGGATTTGAACCAACCTTTCAGTTTACAGCTGAGCACTTAACCATTGCACCTGAAGAGCTTCTTCATTCTTAAGAAATAATAATTATTATGCCTCCATTTATCAAGAGGAAGGAGGAAAAATTCATTACAAGTGTCACCTTAGAAGGGGGTGTTTCAGTCATTAGCTGTATTTGGCTTTTCTTACATTCAAGGAATTGGTTTGGAGAAATGATATCATGTAAAGGACAAAAAAAATTTAGCATGTCGTCACTTACTGGAAAACCACTTTGATTTGGTAAATGGAAATTGAGAGAAAGTGGCTTGTTTACCTAAGTTAAGGCCCAGGGATCCTAGCATCTTTTCCAGTACCTTCCTGTACTGTATCTTTCTGGAGACTAGGATGGCATGTTCCTTGTGTGTGGTGTGGTATTAGTGCATGAACCTGGAAGCATCTATCTAAGAGTTACTACAACTAAATACACGTAGCTCTCTACTACTTCCTCTTCCATCTTTTATATTTTCATAAAGTCCCAAGCACCCCTACAACAGGGGATAATCTTGATCCAACCAACTATGCCCTCCACTGAAACTGTGTGCCCAGGGACCAGTTAATCCCCTTCCTTTTAAACACAAACGTCTGACCAGATCTAGATTTCAAGTGTCCCAACAATAAAAACGTTTTCTCCTACCTTCCTCCTGACTTATTTTTTTAAATGTATTTATTTGCGTAGGCATAAACATGTATGGAAGTATATTTTAAAAATGTTCTCTCTCCCTCAAAAAAAAAAAGCTCTCTCATGCTGCAGAAGGATTCATGGAAATCAGAACTGCAGGGAGGAAGTGGGAAGAGTATGATCACATGGCGTGTACTGTAATTACTGTTACAAAACAAAATGCACGAGTCATTGACTGAAAATCAATTTGCTTTGTAAGGTTTTACTCAAATCACAATATAAAGAACTAAAAAAATTAAATGGAAAAAAATCTCTCTCATAACATCCAAATGGTATCTGGTTAAGTGGGCACCTACACAGCCTCCAGTTTAGCATGCTTCGTGGAAGGTGGAGGGGTGTGGTCAGAAAAGGAAGGGGACATGGAAGGGACATAGCAGGGACCTGGCATGTGCAGGGCTCTCTGCACCAGACACACCTGGATTTGGGGACCCCTCAGACCTGGCAGACCAGTTAAGCCTCCAAGGTAGTGGTGTACTGCAATCAGTGGGCTGTGAAAAAGGATCAGGGGTACCTTGGCTTGTGGACTGGCTCCTGCAGCTCGAGGATGCAAAGGAATGTCATGAGCTTCTGTCTGCTGTTTAGCAAAGTTCACAAATACCTAGAGACAACAAACAAACAAACAAGTATAGGTAGATGTTTCTTGGAAAATGGTAAATTCTACCCACTCTCTCCTTTGCTTTTATTTTCTGCTGTTAACATACAATTCTGTTGAAGTGGCTGTGTCCTGTCCTACCCTGTAGAACCCTAGGCCCAAATCTCTGAACAGGTTTTATTTCTGGGGAGTTTTCTTCAAGGATTAAAACTACTCAGGCCCTAGAACTTGCAGTGACCATGGCATGGCAGAGTCTTAGCTAGAAGATTCCTCCATCTCTTTAGGGAAAACAAACTTTAAAAAAAGTAGTTGAGCTCTTCTTTCTTCTGTGCTCCACAGAGTTTTCAAAGGCTGAGTTTTAGAAGTCAATAGCTGGCCTGTCTTCTAAGGTACCTATGGGTAAAATCAATCTTTCAACCTTTTGGATAGCAGCCTATACTATTAGGGACTCCTAACCATCTTTGATTATGTCTATTAAAACAAAAGGGAGTTCTGGTGGCATAGTCAAAGGGAGCTGTGATGCAAACTCAAAGGCCATGCCTCTGGTGGTTTGAATCCAGTAGCAGCACTAAGGGAGAAACATGTACAGTCATCTCTGATGTGATTTACAGCCTTGGAAACCTGATGGAGGGTCAGCAGTGAGTTAGTTCTGACTCAACATCATATAACAATAACAACACACCACCACAACTGATCTAAAAAGGGGCACCACGAACTAGCAGGGATGAAATAAAATCCTAGAATGTAGTGCGGAGTCAGTGAAATTTACTGATGACTAAAATATTGTTAGAATACAGTTGCTCATATGTTATCACTAAAAGTCATTACTTTAAGCTTTGAGATAAGCTTAAAGATTATCTCAAAGCAACAATTTCAGAGGCTCTCTCACCTTTCATGGCTCCAGGGAGTTTGGAGTCCATGAAAATTTGGAATTCAATTCTGCAGTTTTACCTTTCTGATCAGATTTCTTTTATCAGGTATCTTTGATCCAAATTTACATTATTGGTAGCCAAGCGCTATCCAGTAGTTCTGTTCTGGCAGAGGAGACAGTTGTTTGTGGAAGTGATAAGCTGTATCTTCTTCCTATTCTAATTCTTTTCTTTTTCTGTTGCTCTAGGTGACTAAGGACCAGTTGTGCTTTGGCTGTCCACTTGCAACAATCCATTGGTTTTTTAAAAGTTGAATAAATTAAAAGGAGTGTTTGGTACCATTGTACCTACAGAGCAAAACTGAATGAATATTGTCACTTTAATAAGTAATCCACTCATTTACCATCCCTCCCCCAAAAGTCATTACTGTGGAGTCAGAACCCACTCATCGCTAACCCTCCAGCTGGGTTCTGAGGCTATAAATTGACACTGAGGACATTGTTCATCTTTCTCCTGCAGAGCTGTGGGTGGATTCAAACCACCAAAGAAGTGTGGCCTTTGGATTAGCTGTGCAACTTCCCATGGATGAGGCCACCAGACCTTCCTTCTGATATTGCAAATGTTCCCTTACAGACAGAGACCAATGTGTTTTCAACTCTCTGGATCAGTTCCAACTCCCACTGTTCTGCCCACTCTTTGGCCTCCCTCACTCTGGCCTGGGCTTCTTGGCCAGACTTGCCTGGTCCAGCGTGGTCTGTGTGACCGAGTACTCCTCGATGAGCAGGCTGTCCTTATGGGAGATGAGCAGCTGGAAGATCCTAGCCAGCGAGGAGGAGGAGACCTGGAACTGCAGCATGTTGTAGTGCCGCTCCCTCTGCACGCTGCCTGGAAAGTTCCCCTGGAAGAACTGCTCCACGGGGTTCAGGTCAGGGAGCAAGTCCTCCTTGGGGGATTTGATTTTCATTGTGACGATGTAGCCATCTCCAAACCTAGGACACAGACATGGTGTGGACAGCACTGTTAGTGGTTGGGTCTAAGACAATCCCCAAACAAGATACAGACTTATTGTGAATAAGAAGTTGGTCCACAGGGGTTGTGCTGCTAACCTAAAGGCGTTCTTGGTGGTCTGAATCCACCAGCAGCTTGGTGGAAGGAAGGACAATCTCCTCCAGTGTGATTTACGGCCTACAAAACCCTCTGGAGGTTCAGCTATGATTAGCCAACAAACAGTGCCCCCTATCTCCTTACTTGTATTTGAGGTGCTGAATGGTGCCCAAGCACCGGAATGTTCCCTTCACCATGATGGCCAGTTCAGACTTAATGGCAATGAATTTTTTTCAGGGTGTGTTAGCTTAGAAGGAACCCCCCACCCCTAAAACCCCCAAAAACCACCAATAGGAGAAATAGTTTGATATCAGTTGTTTTTAGGTCTAACTATCTAACAGGGACAGTAGTGGTGATTCAGTGGTAGAATTCATGTGCAAGGAAGCAGGGTGATACTGCGATAACTTTAAGGTATTGTTAACTTTGGCACAAGAACAATTATTAATAATGAATTATCTCAATCAGTTTATAATTTAGAGCTATAGGATAACCCTCCTCAAGATTACTGGTTTGTTGGTTTATCAGTATAAGGTGCTCATTTCTCAAATGCAAAAGCATACAACATGTCAGAAAGAAAAACTAGTTCTCAAGGTATTTGGCCTCCAGATCATTCCTACATTCTTTGTAAACTCTTGTGAAATAGGTCCTTTGGCCCCAGGTCTGTCATAATGTCATTATCCCCAGGTCCAGGATAATGGGGCAGCAGGAGTGACCCCATCACACCAGAGACTGCTGACCATGACTAGGCTTTGTGTCCTTATCAGAAGTCACCAGCCAGGGATACCAACACACAATTAGTCCAATACAGGCACACATCAGACACTACAGGTGAGTTCCACATCACAACAAAGCCAGCCACATGGATATTTTGCTTTCTTTATTTTCATTGCTGAAACCAACTCATGGCTGGCCCTTCGTTGGGTTGGGTAAATCATGTGGGAGGAGATTGCCAGTTTCCCTCCCTTGGAGCCACTTTGTGTATTTGAACTACCAGAGATGTGCGGCTTTTGGGTTAGCAGTATAACTCCCTCTCGACGATGCAACCAGGGCTCCCTGCTGGTTTTAGAGTGCATACAAAATTTATGTTGATACTAGACTGGTGTCTACTAAGTATGAGATATCATTATGAAGAAGTTTGAAATATTGTGAGAACCACAGACTTTTGGAAAATAATTTCAATAATATTTTCTGCATGCAGAATTTCCACAAATTTTCAATTTGTGAAAAGCAAACAAACAAATGAAAATCCTGCGGTATGAAATAAAATAAAGTGCAGTCAACTGAGGTATATCTCCACAACCTGGATGGTGAGAACTGCTAGCCTAAAAGCCGGTGGTTCTAACCCACCCAGTAGTACCACAGAGAAGGATGGATACTCTAATTCCTTCAGAGATTCCCCCATGAAGACCCTCTGGGGAAGTTCCATGCTGTAAAACATGGGGCTTCCATGAGTCAGAAGGTACTTGTGGGTGGCTAATAACAACCAAGGGAGCTCAAACACCACCACCACCACTACCACGGGAGCTCTGGTGGCCTAGTGTTCAGAAGCTACACGACAATCTCAAAGGTGCAAAGTCATAATCCACCAGCTGCTCCACAGAAAAATGAGCAATCTCCTGCTGTGCAGTTTAACTGCCTCAGAAAATCTACTGGAGGGTCAGCTATGAGTCAGTTCTGATAGTACACAACCACCACCATCACCACCACGAAATGGAGTCTCTAACCAGTACAACGAAGATTTTCTTCCAACTGTAGCTGGAAGCGGCCCCAGAAAACATCTACCTCTTCTTGTCGGTTTTATCAAATGTCAGTAGGGAGCCCAGGGCCTGGCTGAACCCCATGGAAGGTAACAAACAGTGCCCCCTATCTCCTTACTTGTATTTGAGGTGCTGAATGGTGCCCAAGCACTGGAACGTTCCCTTCACCATGATGGCCAGTCTGGTGCACAGGGCCTCACATTCTTCCATGCTGGGGGGAGAAGCAAGGAAGTGAGCCACAGTGGGGAGGACCCTAGCCCGCCCTTTACTGAGCCACTGGGTTTTCTCAGGGCCTCATATTCTTCCATCCTGGTGAGAGGTGTGAGGAGGTGAGGGACAGGGGAGGAATCTGTCCCTCCCTTCCCCGAGCCCCTGGGTTTTCTTGCCTGTGGGATGTCAGGACCACAGCTCTGCCTTCCTTGATGATGCCCATGATGGTATTCCACAGCATGCGGCGGGCCTGGGGGTCCATCCCTGTGGTGGGCTCATCCTGTTGGTGGAGCAGAGGGGTTGGGATTTTCCCAGCCTGGGCATTGATGCCCTCTGACTAACTGCCTCAGAGTTGCTCTGACCTCTAGGGAGAAGCTGACAGGAGGAGCTGACTGCAGTTACTCCTCTGGCAGGTGAGGCCGCGTGCCTCACGCAGGGAAGGCAAGAGGCCCACCCAGGAGAGTGAAGAAGCACTTTGCACACCTCTACACCCATTTCAGCCCTCAGGTAGATTAAAACTTATCAAGAAAACATGGAAAAATATATA